TGGGGTTTTTTTCCATATTTAACTGTAAAACATCAAAAGAAACAGAAGGCACCATCAAAAATTTCATATCTGTCCAAAGAGTAATTTTTTTTTTTTTTGATAGAGACCTTTTGATTAAGAAGCTGAAACAGCTGTGGTGGTCGAACTACTGGAACTTCAACTATACACTGTCCACCTTCTCCAGAAAAGCTGTCTCTCCAAGACTTGGGACAATGCATAACTGTTCAGGTAGAATGATGCTGCTTTGACAGTGACATCTGGACAATCTGCACCAGTGAAGATTATGTACCCACCAGAGTGGGTTGGTTACAGGCACTGAGAGGCCACGCATGGTTGGCTGGGACTATAAATCCTTCAAGAAGAGTTGCCCGGTCGAGGTGGTCCCTCAATATGAGTGCACCTTGGTGTAGGCATGCCTCTAAGTGTCAGCTTTACCTCCCTCCTCGCAGAAGCCACCAGCCTCCAGAAGAGTAGAGATGAAGACACAGGTGAGTTATCCTTGTTTGCCTCACCTCACCTATCCACCAGTGTTTATCTCCACCCCACTCAGACCCACTTGCCTGTCCACAGAGCGATGCTGGCAGGCAGCACTGCCTGAATGTTTTTGCTCGTAGGCAAAACTGACACTGCATGATTTCTGATTTGGCAGTGGAGGATGTTTGCTTAAATTGACCCAAGTCATGTCATGCTCTTTCTCACCTTTCTTATGTACAGGTGATTTTAGTGGAGCAAAGCGTAGCTGGGCAAACCAATGGGTGTTTTGAGTTGAGACCCAGTATGATGGGAAACCTTTATGAACAAGCAGAAATGTGTGTTTGGGGCTGGAGCTGCAGTAACTGATTTAGCGAGTGACTTGTCACGCGTGGGAGATCTCTGATCACCAGTCCAGCCTCATAGACATGCTCATAGTGGTGGTTTCTACAGGTGAAGCTGCTACACTTTGTTGTGCCTTTGCACATGCAATGACCCGTGTTTGAGTGGAGGAGAAGAGTGAAGTGCAGATGCTTTTAGGGTGACTTTTAGTCTGAGTGTGCAACAGAGACATTTTGCACTGTGTGTTGACAAGGACTCTGGGCTCTGGTCTTGATTTAAGTCAAATGCCAGCAGAAGAGACCCCAGTTCTGTTTTAAACCTTAGCATTTAAAACAGACATTTCCAAACATGTCACCACCACAAAGTCTGTTCATTTATTTTACTGAAAGGTGCCGTTTGGCCCTGATTTACGCTGGACAAGTGGGCTGGGGCAGGAATGAGGAGGTGCAGGGTGAGTCCCTCTGCCACATCCCTGCAGAAGGACCTTGGCAGGTGTCTCTGGACCATGGTCTCCAAAGATGACACCTCTGCAGCATGCACTGAGCCCCCAGGAGGAAAGGCAGCCGTGGAAGGGACGGCGATGCCTCCCCTGCTCCCCTCCCAGCTCCAGCTCTCCATCACACTCCTCTGCTCCTTGGCTGCTCAGTGAGTGGACTCTCCATAATCCTTTTTGGGTATTTCCTACCATGCTCTCTCCAGGCACAGCAATACCATGCCATGAGCTCGGGTCCCACCACCAGCCTGATGGTCAGCAGGAAGGTCCTGTCCAGGGGGGCCCTCGGAGGGAGAAGGGTGCCCCATTTTGCCTCCGGTGCTGATGGCAGCCCATCTCCTTGTCCTCCCTGTGTCCCCATCAGCAATTTCAGGGTGGTATTACACCCGGTGTCGGCAGGGCGAGGACGTGCTGGTGGCGTCAGGCGGTGACGAGGTGTTTTTGCAACGTGCTTAGCGCGGTGATTTCTTGCTGCCTGCCTTGCCACCAAGGGCAGCTTCCCACCTGGCATTGTTCTGCTCCCTAATCTCGGTCATGTGCTCTTTGGCATCCAGATTCACAGTTGTAACCATCCAGTGCTTTGATATTTATTCTGTGTCATTCAATCAGTTGGCGGGGGGGTGGGGGGGGGGTGGGGGGGGAGCTCTTTCCTCCCCCCCGCTTTTCTGCTTGGCGGCGTGGTGGCAAATAGGCTGGATACAAGGAACCAATCACAAAATTGTTGCCGGAAGGAAAAGCGGAAGAAAAAAAAACCCAAACCCAGAGAGTAACATATACAGCTACATTTTATTGAATGGACGTGGGTACGTCCTTCTCCCAACAAAGCCCAAGAAGGGTTCAGACACAGCCCCCACTCGTGGCGGGTACCTCTGTGCCCCACAGGTGCCGCCCCACACTCCGCTCCCCAAGCGATGCTCACGCAGTCCACCCCATCCCTCAGACAAAAACTTTTGCTGTCGTATCACAGGACACGATAATCTCCTGTATCCCGTCTCTGTAACCCAGAAGCCGCCTTCCCCTAATATTTTACATATTCCCTAAATTCATTTGCAAGGGGGCAGGAGAGGAGATAACGGCAGTGAGTTGAGCCGAGTGGGAACTGCTGACTGACAAAGTGTGTAGTGCAGTACGGGTGCTTTCTGGCTCTCTAATTATCCTTTTCCTTCTTGACTCCAGTATCACATGTAGCCATGTGTAGAATCATAAAATAATTATGCAGTGTACAAGCTTTCTGGGAGCATGTACCACTGTTTTCCTAATTCTTTATCGCTCCCATTGATCGTGGCGTGTGTGCATTGATCCAAGTCGGCCATCTGGTTGGGGAAGATAAGCGTGCGAGTGTCTTTGCATTGCACTGTCACTCAGGGAGGGGGGTACATTTTGGCTGTAGGGAATTACAGGGGCAGGATTAGCCCTCTTCCTAGGAGTAAACTGAATTTTAAATGCAGTGTTGCAGCTGCATGGACCATGTTGCTAACTTCTGGTTTTGCCCATAGACTGAGTATATTCATCATACTCATCATTATTATTATTATTATTATTATTATTATTATTATTATTATTATTATTATTATTATTATTATTATTATTATTATTATTTCCTTCTCTTCCCTGATCAGACTGTATTTGGAGATAGAGATATGGCTTACATTAAATGGAGGGCAGAGAAGGGAAAAAGAGGAATGTCCTTCTCTGCACATACTAGACTTGTGAGTGGCTGCTGTGTTACAGGATTTCGAAATGGCAAAACCAGCTTTTAAATGCAGGCGAGAACCTGCTGGATTGAATGCATTTCACAGTAAGAATCATTGGTCCAAAAAAGAAAAAAAAAAAAAAAGATGAAGTTATCAGCCTATGACAGGAAATTAAAGAGTGGATATTAATCATCTCTCTTAACTTTGGTTAATCAAGACAAATAACCATAATCGCACATTATCAGGATGTGTATGTTTAATAATCAGCAGCAAAACAATGGAGGGTTTTTTTTCAATAATTTGTTTATTTTTTCCTGCCTGCCAGCCTTCCCCCTAACAATGGGCATATCCTGCAATCGCTTGAACTTAGCTGCAATATTTTATCGAAATGGCCGTTGTGCGTGCGTGTGTGCGCGCTCACACCCCTGGTCGTCCTTTTGTAAAACGTGATGGTGGCCATTGTTGTCTCATATTCTGCAAATGTATGGAAGGTGCCTCAAAAGCCTTTCCCCTAAAATTGAACAATTCTGTCAAAAAAGATTAGTTCTATTTTGTCTGCTGCTTGCTGACTATTCATGAATGTAAAGAGAGAGGGCTTGGGTGTCATACTAAGTTGCTAAGGTGGCTGGCTTTCGGCTATTGACTTGAGGATACCAAACCAGAGCCTACAAAAGAGCAGCCAGAAGGAGAGGAGAGAACTGGTCTGCCATGTGTTTCAGCTATACCTTCTTTAGCTGCCCATTTATTTCTTTTGTTGCCACAACTTTTATTGTCATACAGTTGAAAAAAATGTTAGACACAGGCTTCAGGCTGCACCAAGCAGAAAAAAGGATTAGCATATCACTAGGATCATCTTACACTGAACGAAATTCTTTTCAGGATGTATAATTAGTGAATACAGTCTCCCCCCCTCTTTTTTTTTTTTTTTTTTTTTTTTTTTTGAGGGAGTAGGGGGAGCCTATGGATAGGGAAAATTAGCTCAGATCTCTGGGTAGGAAACAAGAAGAAAGGAAAAGAAAAAGTTCCCTAGTTTCAAGGAGGATTTTATACAGGCTATTTCCTCGTCTTAGCTGCCTGCATCATGTTTAAGAAGCCTTTTGCACAGGCAGAGAATGTGTGGGAGTCACCTGTTAAAAAAAAACACATTTTTTTTTTCTACAAGACTATGAACAATCACCTTCCCCAAAAAGGACCAGGCAGGAGAGAAATTGTTTTCAGATCTGGCCTCAAACCTGAGCAGCCAGAGATGGGCAGTGTTTCTGTGCTGCCTCTCTGACAAGGGCTCAGCATAAGATATGATCCTGAAGGATGTATTACTTTTTTGTCCTCATGTGTGCTTCCAGTTCCCTTCTGCCATCTGGGAGCCACACACTTCTCTGTGCACTACAATAAAAAAATGCCGTTTCTTCTAATGCTTGGATCTATATGCCTCAGTCATAAAATCAGGGCTACTACTAAACTGTAACGTATGGTATATGCATTTTTAAAACAGGAGACAGCTGGATGAGGGATTTAGTGGTCTATTTTTTAAAAAAGTATAGATAATTTTCAGTGATGACAGAAATAGGCGTGAACCAAGCATCAGGAGTGTGTGATTAACATGTTCCTTGTCTGTACAGAAAGCAGAGGAGCTCCCAACTGCGGCTGATATTGATGGAAAATGTGTAGCCTTTTACAGTTATTCAGACAGTTCAACTCCCAGATACTTGGCCCTAAAAATTTTTGATTCAAATTATGTTTGCATCATGGTGTGCTTGCAAAATGTGCCACTACATTGCTCTACCTGGGGCAGAAGTGCGGTTTGGCATGGGGATCAGGGTGGAGAGGAGGCGTTTGAATTGCTGCACCCACATCAAAGCACCCATGCATGTCCCAGCCCATGCTGCCTCCAACACTAAGCTGCCTTCATAGATTTGGGTGCTTCTTGCTCCCATCAGAGCAAAATTTGAAAGCAGAATTACCCTGGGAAGGAAACAGAGATTCTTTTTCAGCTCAACGGCTGGTAATTTCACTGCGTTTAATCACGCCACACATTTGACATCATTGCCTTTTCAAACCGTTCAAACCAATTGTTCCACCAAAGTAGCAATTGGATGTGAATATTCAGAAGCTGCTCTGGGGTGCTCAGTGGTAATTGGTCACATCGCTCACATGGTCTCATTCCCATTCTGATGAGAAGAGGGTAGAAATTTGCTTCACGTGGATACATAAACACCCACACATAAAAATCTCATTTAGCACAACTATTTTTTTTTTTTCCTAGGGGTTACTACAGCCGCTTGAACATTTATAGTCAAAGGGCATGGAAGGGGAACACATGAAAGGAGAAGTCAATTAAAATGGTGAATGCAGGCACTAAAAAATGTTGATTTCTTCACCCAGTTCAGTCCCTGCTGTTGGCCCTGCTGACGAACGGGATTTTTGTTGGTTGGATGTGATGCAACGTACTGTGTCCAGGTGAAAGGGAGGAGGTTTAGGTGCAGATCCCAACGGCAGATGTACTGATCTTTCCAGGGACTCAGAGCTCATACTGGGAGGTGGTTGTGACAACCTAGATGTGAAGTTTAAGAGAGCAAGCACAGTGAATAATGAGTATCCCTTAGGGTCTGTGTAACCCATACACCATGGAGCTAAGAAAAAATGCTTAAGAGACAAGAAATATTTGAGGAGAAATTATCTGACTCATTTAGGGAAATTACAGCAGCTGTTTTATGACTGGTGGGTCACACATATAGGGGGCATCTATTGTCCACGTGGATCCCCTCTTGACTTCAAAGAGAGGGTTTTCGGTAAGGGATATCTGCAAAGCGGGCTGTCGTGTAAAGCAGCCATGTCAAACACTGGCTTACAATATTCTTCATTATGCTCTGGTACACTGAAGAACATGAGAAATTGTGAATGGGAGTGGCTTGAAAGTTACCATTTATTTTGAGTGCAAAATAGAAAACCCAGTGTGATGGTCCTTGTTCAGAAAAAATTACTCCTGATGGCCATTTTTTATTAGGAAGGAGAAGATAGCCCAGAAGAGCCAGATGAATCCAAAGGTGGGTTTTTTTTTAGAGGCTGATAAAGGTTCCCAGGTAGCTACTGACTAAGAAGTAGTTCATCTTACTCAACTCAGATGTCCTCATTCCTTCTCCTTCCAGTAAAACCTAACTAAAGTAGAAGAAAAAGTAAAAAAAAATCGGACAAAATTAAGGACAGAACAGCAGATATTGGGATGATTGTAATCTACCTTCTGTAACTTTGCAATCACACTAAAAATGCAGTTAGCTTGCAAACGACCTAATTTACCAATACCTGGACTTGGCTCCTTGGTAGCACATAATAAAAGCACATTACACCAGTCACCTTGGGGTTTGGTTGGGGCTGGAGCTGTGTGTCCGTTGGTGCTAGATCAGCTGGCGGGTGTGTCTCTCTGAAGCTTGCAGGACATATTTTCTGTAAATAAATGCTGTTTAATAAGTATTCCATGTGCATTTTGTCATTAGCCTGATACTATAGAGCCGTGTGGACCCAACCTTGATTTATAAAGCTGTTAAAATGTTTGACCTTGTTTAAATAAAAGCCTCAAGGTTAATTACAACAAGCATTCTATATATACTCTCTCTGTTCCGGTCACCCTGATGATTTGTAGGAGGAAAGGGTAATAAATTCTCATTTTTAAAAAGTGACTGCTGTGCAAAAGTGTAAGAGTTTGCTTTTCTGCCATTTTCATGTTTTACCACACTTTGATATGTGATATATTGAGCAATGGTGAGCTGCCTCTTCCCAGGGATCACTAGATATTTTTGCTTAAAGTATAATAAGAAGCATGTGAGAATGGGGAAAAAAAAAGACTGTTGGGAATAAAGAGTTGGAGCTTTGTTCCTGGATAGGTTGTATCCATAATGAGGTAAACAAAGGCAATGGTGTAGGGTTTTTTTTCCTTATTGCACAGAAAACAAATTTCACAAAATAAAAACCAATTTAAGTTTCTTTTAAAAGAACTGGGAAATATTGAGGAAAGTTAATTGAAGCACATTCAAATTACAATAAACACATACAGGCACAATTATCTTCTTTTGACTAGTGTGTGGCTTAGAGATGTTTTTATCTTTTGTTTATTGCACTATTAAAAATATGGAGAGGCATCAAGAAAGGGTAGATAGCCACCATATGGAATTACATATTTTCCCTATTTATATTTAAATAACTATCCATGAGAAATTATGCACAAATCATGCAATAATTCCCAACTGAAATGACTGTTTAGAAAATAAAAATTCTGAGGGACAATATTCTTTTCATATTAAATTGCCCATTTTCTGTACATCATATATGTTTGTACAATACCAAAAAAATGCTGCATTACAGCCCAATACAATTTGTTCACAATGCTAATGAAGATGGATAGAGGACATTGTAATATACTGTAGTAATTCGTAAGCAGTGTGGGAAAACAAGACAAACAGGCTCAGAAAGCTGGAGCATAATTTTTTGTTCCCATTTTCAGAGTGAATAGTGGTAATTTTAATAACCTGCTGGTTTGACAGATTTAATGATGCCGATTAACTTTTATTGCTTGATTCATGCCATGCTCACATTTGGGGTGAATATTTGTGCTTGCAAAGTTTGAGTGGCTGGTTTTAGGCAACTAAAAAGAAGCTCCTAATACCCCGTAGAGAACTTGGCAAGGCTGAAAGCCTTGTGTTTGGGATGCCACCCTTTCCCTGAAGAGGCACATTTCGAGCCTGCGTCTCACTTTGCGGCAGAGCTGTCCCCCCCTCGCTTACGGACAGAGGGTCCATCTGGACTTGCAGGCAGAAATACGACATGATGTCTCCGATTGCAAGTTCCGATTAACTGGGACTAAGCTGCAAATGCCGAGATCATTTTCACTCGTGATAAAGCTCAAAAGAGCAAAATATTATCAGCAAAATATTCAGCTTTCATTTATACCTCAAAAAGGAAAACTATGAAATCTTTTTCCTTTCTAAAATGGGAGTGAAAACATCCAAATTAGCTGGTGATGACCCTACCTGCTCAATGCACATCAAATTTTGCTTGTCTGTCTGTCTCTCTGATAATTCTAATGATTTTAAGTTTTGTAATTCATTCAACATCTTTTACCCAAGTCCTTAGATTAATAGGTTTTAATCAGGCTTCTCTTTTCACCTCCTCTCTAATCAAAGAGAAGATGTGAAAAGGCAGAAAGCCCCACTCACCCAAAAGAGCCCTTCCTCCTCTTAGGATGCAAAACTACAAGTGTGCAGGTCACACTGAGAGGCACCATTTCAGGAGGAGGCTGAAAACTGCTGAACACCCTCAAAACAGTAACATATAAATACGTGCAGCACCCACTTCTCTCTAGATAACCACTGTGCATGCCTAATGATGGCCCCATCCTTAAAAGCATGCATCTGACAGACAGCAGCACACAAAGTAAAAAGCTTCTTACAATTTCATTGGACTTTAGTTTTTTTTTCTCTAAAACCTGATATAATTCTAACTGTATATTCAGGCTCCAAGCATACCTTGCATCAGCTGCCACACACCAACCTGCCCGGCCCTCCACGTGCCCCATCTTGCTCAGCTAGATGTGACAGCTGTGCCTCCTCATTTTGGCCAGCCAGGTATTGGGGGTTCCCCTCCCTCCACAGTCCTGTAGGTACCCTGGGACCCCCTCCCCATCAGGACATCCTGGTCAGTGTCTTGCAGGATCATGTCTTCCAAATTGATTTACTGTATGCGTTTTATTTGTGTATGTAAGTGTGTACATGTATATATACACACAGACATATATATGTATGTATATATATATGGGGGGACGGGGAGTCCTGCTGTGGGGTTAAGCTGGTGATTTATTTATTTATTTTAGAGGAAATTCTTCCAAGAAATCTTCAGGTCTGTCAGACAAAAACATATCAGAGAGTTTGATCTGGCTTTTATGGCTTGTTTCTTTTTAAAATTTTATTAAATCCCTTTTGATGCTGTCCCGTAGATTGAGAGGCTTGGTTGCTGCTGCTTTGACTCTAAGAGGTGTTCCTGGTTGGTATTTTGGGAACAACAAGGACTCTTTGGTACATTAGGACTAGGGAAAAGAGTTTTTAGTCCAGTAAAAACTGGCCTTCATGGAGTGCTGCCGTCACACTCTTCTGGTAAAATACATCACTGTCGTCCTAGTACTGCTACTAAAGGTGTCTGCTCTACTCTAATCTCTTAGTTTTCATCATTTTCTTGTGTTTCCAACTCTTATTTGTCTAACTCATGTCCTGCCTCTTCATCTGTCCATCTCAGCTAGAATGTGAAGTCAGGAAAAAGTTGGGATTGTAGTTAAATGCCTGTATGAAGGGCTGCAAGGTGGGTCCCACCAGGAGGTGGGACATACATTCTTGTGTGTTCCCAGCCAACGCCACGCGCAACAGCCATCTCTTCACATGGGTGTGTGTATGTGGCACCACATTACTGATAATTATGCAGAAGGATCTATGGAAAAATTAGATCTCACCCCTATAGCTTGATACTGGCATCACCAGAGTTGTTCCCAATTTCCATCTGTAGAAATGCCTCACAGCCTTCTTTCCTCCTACATTTAATTAGCAGTTAGCAACAGTGTCACTGTAACCATGATGGTCTAAATATATAAATGAAACAAGTTTGGCACGGAGAAATAACACCATTTAATAGAGTGATTGATACTGGTTTTAATTTCTTAAAATTGCCATGAAACACTGTAGCATTTATTTTTAAAAATGGTACCTCAAAGAACAAAGAAGTTTGGCTACATGACTTCTTATTTTACTTTTTTTAAAAAAATCTATTTTATTTTAGTAATTTTTGTTTCATTTATTTCAGTTCACTTCATTTCATTTCATTTCATTTCATTTCATTTCATTTCATTTCATTTCATTTCATTATTTCATTTATATTCCAACAAAACTCAGAATCTTGTCTGGTGCAGAACTAATTTACTGGGGAAAACATGTTTTGGTTGAAAACTTTGAACCAATCTAGACCAAAGTTGGGGAAAAGAACTGCCAAACTATTGCCCATATGTGACCATACTAAAATAACCTCATGTTTTTATCTGTCCTTGATGACAGTGAATGCCAGAGGTGGAGGAGTGAAATGTGGGCAGCCCAGAGCTGTGGCACGGTGAAGAGCCCTGCCGTGCCGCTGGGTGCCGGCTGGTGCCTAACGCTGTGTTGCTGGCACAGCCGACTCTTTCCCACTCCATCTCTCTTTTCCTTCCTTCTCTCACATTCCCCAATAACACTGATGGGGATCCCTCCTCACACTGACGGATGCAACATAGTTTGGATGCAGCTTGAACAAGTCAACGTATGGGATATCTGTATATGCAGCCAAAGAGCATTTCATTACCTGCTCTGCTCCTCACTCCTCTCTTCCCGTCCCTGTTCTTTCATTTCTCCTGGGGAGAACCAGTAGAGGAAAGATATCCTACACTGCACCTGAAGCCCTGTTTAGCACTCATGGTTTATCTGGGAATGGGCCTTCAGTACTAGCATTGATGTTGCCTTTGATGATCTTTGAGCCAGGTGTGAAGGGAGATTATTTTGAACATAAGTCTTGTCATTGCTTTTTGTTTCTCCACTGCTTTCTGGCAGAAGTGCAAGTAAGGACAATTTGGGTGAGAGATGGTAGTGTGGCACCTTCTCCTGCCCACCACCGTGCGAAGGACACGATGGCAGGGTCTGTAACATGTTGCTCTTCAGTTCTTTTCTAGACACACACTCCAGCTCAGCTTGGAAAAAACACATGGGAGGAAAGTGGTGTTGACATGGCTTTGGTGTTGGCATCATGAGTTTTCAGAGCTGTATTTTCCGCACAACTCTAGCTAAATAGTTGTCCACACCCTCTTTTGGGTTGCAGCCATCTGCCATCACTTTGGCTTTCTTTCCCCAGGGGAAGAGAATAAATTTGGGTGCTATTCAGGAAATGGGGTACAAAGGGATTTAATTTGGCACTGCCCAGTAGAACCTCTAACTGAGAAACATGTTGGGGTGAACAGTCCCGGCACCCTCACATCCCCTCTCCATCCAAGCCCTGCTGGCGAGATGCAAGCTTTGTGGGGTTTACTTAGCAATTTATTTTATTTAGCAATTACCATTTATTTCTCTTCCCCTGTATAAATTCTCTCTTTTTGTCTATGACACTATTAGGGATGGACCTGGGTACAGTATTCCCCGAACAAAATTAAATCCACGAATCTGCCCTGTAGGGCACGGAGCATCGCGTTGTCCTGTGTTTGGGCAGTGCTGAGCAGAGGGGGGCCCTGGCCTTCAAGATGGTCAAAACAAATAAATAAATCGAAGCCCTGGAATGACTCATTTGTCGGGAGCACACCTGCATAACCCATCCCACAGCTGTAGGGCTGGAAAGGCAAATAAAACATCTGTAACCCAAGCCTGGAGGGTGCTGGGGACTCAGGGTAGGGA